TGAACCAGACCAACTTTGCCCAAAGTCTACCCCAAAAAAAGAGAGAATAATATTTAAATTAAGACATTTAGATATTCAAATACTATAGCAGACTGGCACCTGTATGAAGTAAAATAGTTTTAAAAATCATACTTAAACATCAGCATACGCACAGTCTAATAATTTTACCATGAGTTCAGTTTGAGTTCTAGGCTTTGCAGACTGCTAAACCGTGTCTAAACTGGCATCAAGGATGGTTTTCACTAGAGTTACACTAGTTCAATTGAGCTAACAATTAAAAAAAGCACCACTACTCCACATTCAGTCCTTTCCCAGCTGTAATTAGAAATACCATGCAACATACACCATTTCGTGTACAACACACTTACAGGAAGCATTGCTTCAGCCCATTCTCCATGACCTCTTTGAAGCAGCTTGATTCTTTCTAAATCATAACAAACTTGAACAAGATCACCCACTTGAAACTGTGAGGTACCTCCCTCTGCACCTTGAGCAGCATCTCCACTCCGGACGACATTGGCTTTAGTGAGAACAGCTGGATTAAATGTCCATCTAGAAATAAGTCAATTAAAAGAAATTATTTAACATGAAAAGGGAACGCTAATTTATAAAAAAATCACTTACAAGAAATGCTTGCATGCCTAAACACTTCAAACAACTGGATATTATGGTATAGCTATTAGATACTCTTTCCATAGAAACTTTCCTTTTATGAGAGAGAGATTCATTTCCCATAGTAGGAATTGCTGATTTAAGAATCTGATGTACCTCCCAACACGTTGGTATAAAAGGAGAGGACCAGCAGAACTGAAAAAAACAGATTTATCGAGAAATAACACTGGGGGAGAGTAGTTTATACAGATTCTTATACTTAGCCTCTGACACTAAGTGAAAAGTCAGAAGAGGTTTTTCAAAGAGGTATGCCCTGTACTCATATGCTCGATTAAACTATATTGACTTATACTGTGAAATCTATTGGTTTATCTGCCCTTTGAAGCATATAACTAACAAAAAGCAAAGAATAACCTGCCCCTTTACAGGGCAGGAGACCTGAGGCCAGCCAGCCCTGTTTAACATTCAGACCCAGTTGGAAAGTGAAAGTGATGCCTATGCAAACAGAAGCTGAGAACTAAGCTGACGGAGAAGCTTCAGAAGACAGCTCAGTTCCTGTACCCCCAAAACAATGAGAAATAGAATAAAGCAGGTCCAGGACCTGAAGCCTGTGCAGGCCAAGACAATAGCTTTGTTTTGTATTGCTTTTTATAAGTTTTTCCTTTGAATTAAGTTTCCTGAAGGAAAGGCCTAAAAAATAATATGGAGTTAATCTTTTTCTAGGCAAAAGAAACAAACCAGCAGGACACATTTAAGCTTATGTGTCTGCAAGTTTTTTGGCTTGGTTTGGTGATGTCTATTTTTATATTTTGCTTTTTAAGAGTATATTTGCTGTAGATAGTCCATGTACCTTTGATACCATATAGCCAGTAACACAAAAGTATATTTTGAGATGAAGAAATATTGCTTAAAATGTTAGAGCAGTGCTGTTGAACTCATGGCCTGGGAGGGCTTAAACTGCAGCCTACAGGCTCCCACCTGGACTCCACTCGCCTCACTATTCTGGCTGCCGTTGGCTCCCCACCTTTCACCTCTGGTTTTAGCTTCCTGCTGCTGCCCCTGGGGGTGGGGCAGCATGGCACACAGGGAGCCCATGGATGGCTCAGGGGAGCCCAGGGGGGTGCAGACAGGGAAGAGGATGCCAGCAACACAGCACATGGGCTGGAGGACCTCCATGGGTGCAGTCCCCAGATGTAGCTCAGAAGTTGGACACCTCTGGGTTAAAGAATCCTCCGTGCAGAGACGTGCCCCTACTTTTGAATATCAGAGTAGTTTATATATTCTCTCCACTATTTCACCTTTGAAATAGGAAAACCTTTTTACTTTTGAGAAACAAATATTTATTATCTTTTTTGTTAATCAAGAAAGAGACATCCATATTCCAACCAATACAGTACAGGTTAGCTTTGAATGTCAAAACAAAATTTATCATCTACAAAATCATAACACACTAACAGCTAAATAGTTTACTGAAAAATGGCTACACACTAACAGCTAAATAGTTTACTGAAAAATGAATAACTAAAATCTGAAAAAATTTAGAAGCAAAATCCAAATGAATAGTATTTCTACTACAGCTAAATAGTTGAAAACCCAAGTCATTATTTTTAGCAACATGACTGCACTGGCTAATTTTGGTCACTTTTCCCTATCCTTTGACTGCACTGGCCAATTTCAAAGTCAACACATGCTTACATAACATAAAAGTATCATCCTTTAAAGCTTAGCCATCCATGTTCAGAAACACTTATACCACCTACTATGTAGGACCAATGTCTTCTGTAAATAAGAACCTGTTCAAACCTAAGCAGCAGCTTGGATTAATAAATCTGGAAGTGAAAAAGGATAAGCAAGATAGAATGCCAAGCCAAGCAGATGGACTCTGCTGTGAAATCTCACAACAGTACATTTAAGCATGTGAAAACTGTGCATCTTGGAATATACTTATTGCACCGTCTACCTTTATTTTTTTTTTTCAAAGAAAATATGCGCATGCATATTACAGTTGTCTTCACAAATTGAAATTATCTGGAACCATAATTTGTTCTCAAACTTACATTTCAGACTTATTTGGAAATTTTATATGTGAATCAAGGGATTGCCTACCTCCAAACAGGACATACACATAACATTTCAGTTCTACTGTACGGTAATTCTTTTTTTGCAAGTTATTCTTTCACCCTCCATGAAAACAGAACACATCACAGCCAAAAGAAATTGACAGATAAACAGAGTTAACTGCAGTCACGTTTCATGCTTAAAGTATGTGACTGTGGAAAATACCCACAATTTGTGAAAGTCCTGGAAACTAACAGAGACAGTTACTAAAGTTAGTTATCTGACAAAAAGACCCAACAGACCACATTTTATGAAGACGACAAGACAAATCTGCCACTTGATCATAAACACAAAATACTGAACAAGAGTCAAGCAGTAGCAACTAATCCTTTCTCTAGCAAAGTATCTGTTACAAAATAGAAAGATTTTAATTTTGTTTTGTGGTAGATAAAACCCTTATTACATAATTCAGGATGATGATAAACAATGAATTAGATGGTAGGATGCAACAAGAATCAAAAAGGAGAGTAAATACGTTTTCACACACCAAATCCCTGCAAGTGATAAAGTCAAAGAAAGTTTGTCAGGGTAAAGTGTTGAGAACATGTAACAAACCTGTTGCCACTTGGATACTGTACTACAATGTCATGATCCTCATCAATGCCACAAACTGTGCCAGTGGTGGTTAAGGTCTCAAACATGCCATCGGTCCATCCCCCATGACCATGTTGCAAAGACTGTACAATTTCTAAATCAAGGTCAATGTTAACTAGATCACCAATCTGCAACCCACCAGGATTCCTGTTACCATTTTGCTCACCTGAAATTGAAACACAAAACAGTCTACATGAGGTCAGGCTAAACACTCAAACCATGTCTAAAACGGCAATTAACTTCTAGCAAACCTGATACCCAAGACCAATTACATGCAGAAAACAAGTGTTCTGAAACCTTACACCCCTTAACAGTCAACCAAAGTCTCAAAGACCTTGTTAAAGCCGCTGCATAGCTAAATGAATTTATAGAAGCATATGATAAAGATGATCAAGCAAAAGACAGCAGTTCCCTTTACTGTAAAAGTTTAAGCTTAAAAAATGGACATGATGCATTTTAAAAAGCATGTAGGCTGTACTGAAAAAAGGGGGGTGGGGAACTACATTTTAGAAACCAGTACTCTAAAAATGACACCAGATTACTGAAGAAGATGAATTACAGTGGGATCAAAAATGGGGTAATAGGAACTATTTCAGCACCTGACCAACAAAGGAGCAGAAATTAGCATGTCTGTGCTCAGCAAATGGTTACTGCAGGATAGAAGCAGGCAAAAAACCCCACCTGAATCACAGTAACTCACACTGGCAGTTTTACCTTAAATTGTTTTTTGACAATTCTTCATCAGATTTAGTGAAATTATCTGGTTTAGGCATGTGCATCATCTGTCCACTACTTCTATGCTAGCAGAACACTGACCACAATAGTATAGAAGTTTAATCCATGCATACCCTCACTGTATAGCCAGAAGTCTTAATTTGCCTGTTATACATCTGACCTAGTTTGGTACATTTATTGCCTATTACGTTACAAATTATTGCAACATTTGAGCACGAAAACACACAGGAGTGCTGTCATTTAAATCATAACTGTTTAGACCATTCTTTTAAGACCTCTGATTAGGAACTCATCTTTTGATGTTGACACATTTCTCGTTACTACCAAAATGACATATTTCCTTTAACTCACCTAACACGGGGCAGTGGTCCCTGTAGAAAGAGCCTCCCTTGGCATCTTGGACACATTTCAGATCAGACTAAAAATAATCAAGAAAAGTTTAGTTTGGACACATTAAACCTGAAGGTTGACACGAGTGTATGAAACTAAAAACAAAAATTCACTAAAATATAGGTTCAAAGCACATGTGTAAAAAATAAGCACACTACTGAAGTCTGGGTACGAAGAATTAATGTAAAATATTTTCCAACATTGTATTTCTACAAGCCATTTAAACAAGCCCTTGACATTCACAGAATCCGTTAAACTTTATTCTTGTTTTTATGCTTTCAAGCATTATTCAAAAAACATGCTCTGAAGAAATGGTAAAGCTGTACTGACTAAGCTGTATAATGTTTCATAAAGTTATAAAACTTGGTACAGCCTGGTAAAGCTACCAAACTGTAAAGCTACAAAATAACCAAGAGAACTCTTAACAAAAAGATGCTATTACACACAACCTGAAACTGTTTGATAATGTTACCACTCTTAAAAAAAAAAAAAAAAAAAAAAAAGAAATCAATACAAGTAGAGCAAGTATAACATTTACAAATATCTGAATACAGTATGGAACACTATACTTTATTTGCACAGTAGCAGCTTCAGTGCGCATTTGTCAGCATTGCCTTTAATAAAGCCCCCTCTTTTGTTCATTGCGATTATTACATAATAAATGTTAACCTTTAATTTTAAGAACATGAAGTTTGTTTATTTTTTCTTTTTAAACAAAGCAAGTAGCTAAAGTTGCAACTTTCTTTTCTAAGGAGCAATGTTATTTTGGTAATTTCCAGAATTTTCTCCCCATAGGTAAGCAAAGATATCCTCTTTAGAAGTCCCGAAGAGTATTTCTGCAGCAGAGCCTGTTCTACCTTATATGAAAAGCAAAAGTATTTCAATTTGATGACCAGCTATTATACATATAGCCAGTAACAAGTTCACATTGCTGCCTGGCATTACTCCTTATTGAACAATTCTCATAAAACAAAGGTAATTTTGTGTGGAAAGTGGGAAGGGAAATAGAGAATTGCAGGGGCAATACAATTCATATTATGGTAATGGCGGGGGAGGAAGAACAATGGAGGGGAGGAAGAACAAAGGAGCAGGTACTGGAAGGTATGTAAAGCAAATGTGCTTTTATAAACACCTTGTACATCATTCTCCCTCTTCCCCAGGCTTCTCATGAGCAAGTAAGAATGAACTGATCTCTATCCATGCCTTCCCCAATCATTAACACAATACCCCCTCTGAGCATTCCTAAAAATTTCAATAGCAGTAGAAGCCAGAAACAATATACAGTAAAGAAGTAGTTTGCAAAGATTATTTCCTCAGTTTTAGAAGCTGTACCACTACTTATTCTAAAATAATCATTCATGCTAGCAGGTTGTCATATTACACACACACACGCTCTTAAATTTCTGTACAAATGTTCTGTTTTTTGATCCATCTTACACTTCCTCTAATCCCAGCACCTGTTTAATTGGAGTGCATGGGCAATGCAAACTATTACTGCTGCTAAATCTATGAGTTAGGCTATTAAAATATTAACATGTAAAATGTGTATAACCTATCAACCTGCAGTAGCAGGACACAACCTGTTAAAGCAAGGATGTCCAATTTACGAGTGGCCAGGGACCACCCCTCACCACCCCCAGGGATGCACACCCCACTACAGTGTGTGGCAGGCACACCCCCTTCCACTCTGAATGGCAGATGACTCCCTGGTGCACTGTGCCAACATCTCCACACTCCGAATGCTGCACTACGCCTCATGGGCCCCACATAAAATGAAAAAAGAAGTTTACCAGATGGTACAATTTGCTGCTACTAGATTTTGTGGTCAAGAGCTTAGTGAGATTTAAAAGAATTATTAGTAATTTACATGGAGAATAAGGCCTAAAATATAAGGTAAGATTAAAAGTCTTTATGCATCAAGTCATACATCAACCACAACTTGAAATAATGGATTAAGCCTCCTTTACAGGCAAGTTATTCCATGGTCATCCACCATCTAGATTCTTGCCATTTCCTCATTAATCGTCAGTGCTGGGCAAAAGATACTACACTGGATGGACCAACAGCTCTGATCCATTTGTTAAATCCCTATATTCTCGACTGCAATGCAAAGTACCAATTCTGTACATGATATAACCCTCAGCAATGCCTGGTTATAGGATGCATTTTAACTAGGGCCGTCAAACAATTAAAAAATGTGATCATGATTAGATGTGCGATTAACAAAATTAGTCAAAATTAACAGCGATTTCAATCACACAATTAAAACTCAAAATTATACACAGAAAAACTCAAAATTATAAAAAATTATGCAGGTACTTTGTATGTTTGGGGCATAGGTGTGGGATGCGTGTGTGTGTGGGGGAATCTATGAAGGTGTAGGGTGCTATGGGTGTGTGTCTGGGGTCTGGAGCCTGGGGGGTCCCACATGCCCTAGCAGGATGCAGGGTACTGTGGGTCAGAAGTGAGGAGGAGCAGCAGGGCTGGAGGGGGCTATGGCTTGGAAGTGAGGGGCAGGCACACAGAGACAGACAGCACCCAGCTGGTAAGTCTGTGGAGGGAAAGGGGCAGGGGGAGAGGGATGGAGGGGCACAGAAGCCCACACGGTGAGGGAGGGAGTGGGGCAGAGGCTGAGATTAATGGGGCCTCAGGGCCAGGGCAGGTTGTGGAGCTGCAGGCAGCTCGTCCAGGGGCACGGGGGGAGCATGAGTCCCCACTGCTGTGCACACCCCCAGGGAAAGCATAGGGGAGCAAGTGCCCCCTGGATTTGTGCGCAAGGTGGAGGCAGGCTGCCCGCTGAGGCTCTGTGCCCTGCTGTCTTTGCCCTGGGAGCCACACGACGCCATGTTGTGCCTCCTGCCGCTGGGTGGGCAGGGGAAGCATGACGCAGCCAGCCCATGGCTCCCGGGGCAAAGGCAGCAGGGCGCACAGCCCAAGCCTGAAGCAGGAAGCCCACCTCTGCCCCGCTCACAAATCCAAGGGGCACATAAACCCCCATGCCTCCCCTGGGGGTGCACGCAGTGGCAGGGAGCCGGCTCTGTCCTGCACAAGCCACCCATGGCTCCGTCCCACAACCCACCCTGGCCCCAGCCCTAGGGCCCCATTCACCTCTGCCCCACTCCCTCCTTCATGTGGGGGCCTTGATCTGCCCCCCACTCCTTCCCTTTGCCCCACCCCTTCTCCTCCACAGACTTACCTGCTGAGTGCTGCTCTATACGCCACTGGGCTGCATTCCTGGCCATGCACATGCTGCAACTGCATGTCTATGTGCCCCAAACCTCCACTTCCTGTTGCAGCAGCTTGGAGCCCATGCCTGTGCTGCCCTGCAGCTCATCTGCACTGCCAACACTGCCCCACTGGCGAAGCCCAGGCACAGACTCCGAAACCACATGTGCAATTAAAGCATTAAAAAAATTAATGCAAGAACCATTTAACGGGTTAATTATGCATGTTAATGGCAATTAACTGACACCCCTCATTTTAACTATGGATGGCAATGGATTTTAACTGTGGATTTAAAGGTTTAGTTCTTTTAATTCAAAAACCATTTTAAGTCTCAGCTTCAAAACCTACAATGGGTGTAGATAAACAGGCCTCAGGAGGCACTCAGGAAGAATAAGTTTAAAATGGCAAAAAGAAAACATAAGGGCAATGGAACCTTTCATTTCCTTTACCCTCTCAGCTATTGCAGTGTTTCAGACTTTTTTGAGAAATAAACACACACAGATGGCTGTGGCTATGACTACAAATCTGACAAGGATTCCTTTCGTACTTTTCACAGACAACAAGGAACACCGTCTATAATTAAAATCATAGAGGTGGGTGACCACTAAATTTTTCTGCCTTTCTGTTAAGATGTTAAAAGTAGTAGCCAAGTGCAAATGTGACTTTCCAAGCAATTTGATGCATGCACAGATTTAGGACATCCATACTAGAGGAAGACCCTAGGGTTTAATTCCCAAGCTATTGGTTAAAGAAATTTGAGACTGGAGAAGGTAAATAAGTTGCAATTGAGACAATACCTATCAGGAATAAGGATGTAACATGAATTTCATTCTTACACGTACATTATAAAGATTTAAAGGAAAGCAAAAGTCATCCCAAGACATTAAAAAAGCCAGTTCATAATCTTCTCCTGAACTCACTACAATTTGTGTCTTGCAACTCAGTGTTGAAGCTGGCTGTCTCTACAAAAAATTTCTGCAGACTTTGAGGTTATTTAACTGGCACTGCGATGTTTACATATCCACATATTAAGTTTCCAAATGTTGTCATCTTACCCAAGAAGTAGCATTTTGCCCCATACCAAAGACCTTAAATGATAGAAGGCTGTATTCCTTTAACTAGTTATACTGGGAAGTGGGGATAAGGGTTATAGATCATCTTCTTCTCAACAGTATGCAGTTATGTACACCAAATTCTGTTACCTTAAACTAATGGTTCTCAACCTTCTTAGACTGAAGACACCACCCCCACACCCTCAGAAAATGCCAGCACTTAGTTTTCACTCACTTTTGGCTAAAGAAAAACAATAAAGTAATTCATCTGTTGCAAATCACTCAGAAAGATCACCACAGGTCAGAATGTTTTTAAAACTCCGGATTCTTATTTGAAATCTCTGGGTTTATCTTGTGTATCATGTTTGCACACTTAATGGGGCTAATATTGCATGACACCCAGCATCACACTTAAAAGGATCTCAGCACACCCCAGGGAGCCGTAAGACTGGTATCACTGCCTTAAACACTGCTGCCGGACAGACTATTCCAGAGGCAGAAAAGGATACCTCCCCAAATTGCCATTACGTGAACATGGCAAGATGTTAAACACAAAAACTGATTATGATGGCAGCACTGAAACATACTACTTGATATCTCTTAAATCAAGCTCGTCATTAACAGATTACAAAATTGTGCTTAAAATGTACTGCACTTGAGAGAAAATTAAGAGCTGGCATTTTCGGGGGTTGGGGCTTGAGTCTGAGAAGGTTGAGAACCACTAGTTTAAGGCAACAGAATCTGATGTATAACTGCAAACAGGTCTCACAGGGCCCATCTGCTGCAGGTGTTGAGCCTTCGGTTCTGCTTGCAGCTACAGCCTTAGCTGATAAAAGCAAAACTCTAATTCAGGTAAAGAAGCTCTTCAATAAATCGTTTACAGCCAGATGAGCATTACAGTAGTGCATAATTTCAAAGACCAACAGTAATCCTCCAAGGATAAAAACTATCCAGTAGGAACAGTCTAAGTATTTTTTAAAATAAAGATTGGACTAAAAGTTTTAAAAACATTTTTAATGGTCCTTTTTTATTATTAATTGATCATTTTTTAAATTTGTAAATGCATTAAAGAGGCTTGATTGACATCACTTAGCCATTCTATTTATAATTAGAAATTTATAAAATTTCTGCAGCTAGAAGATTAAACAGACTGCAGTTGATTTGTTACTAACAGGTATTATAATTGGGAAAACAAAGTATTCTAGGACAGAACATAACCAATGTTATTTCATTTTTGGACACTAGAGGGACCATTATGATCTACTCAGCACAATTCCCTGCATTACACAAACCACAAACTTCAATTTAGTAATTCCTGAATTAGTAAAATAACTTCTGATTGAATTTTATCTTAAGTTTTGGTAATGTGGCTCCATTTGCAAATGTGCCACTGCTCTGATTCCAAACAGAAAAATACTGTATTAGAGAGAGAAAAGAAAAAAAAAAGGGGGGAGGGGGGAGGAAAAAAAAAAGTCTAACAAGGTTAAAATAGGATAGCAAAACTACAATGCTGTTAGTAACCAGGAATTAAAAAAGAAACACCTAGATGCTGAAATTAGGTTATTATGCAGATCTGTCAGAATTAAATATAAAGTATGCCAACAAAAGACCAACAACACTAAAAAAAAAAAAAAAAAAAAAAAAAAAGGGGCAAAAAAAAAAAAAAAAAAAAAAAAAGTGGTCAAGGAAACAAGTTCAATTTTTAATTTTAGGTAAAAACAGGCAGTCATGCTTGATTTCTGCATAATGTAGTCAGACTACATATTTCACTTGATATCTGCTAATATTTCTCAAACTACCTAAAATTCTTGTTCAGAATTCAGTTAGAGATACTGTAGCGACTTATTTAGTGAAAAAAAAAGCAATTTCTATTTTATTCACAGTGTACTGTTAGTGTATGACCAATTAGTGATGACCAATAAGCTTCATAATATGTACACTGATGAAGCTGAAATATTAACTTGTTTACATGTCAAATAACTGATTTTAATCGGATGGAGTTTGCTTGGGTCAAAAAATAGCAATTAGCACACTAGGATTTTGATAATATCCAAAATTAAACTAAATTTGGTAAGTGATAATATGGTGAAAAAAACTACTGTTCTTAAAAAGCTGAGCCAATCTGTACAGTTTAATCCTTGTTACTGGAATGTGACAAGATGACATTCAAATCTAATTTAATATAGCTCTCCTCTGCAATACCAAAGCAAAGAAAAAATTAAACAGAGACTATGCTAATTGAGATGTCACAGTGGGGACTAATCAAAGTAACCTTTCCTTGACCCACAGGATATACCCACCCACAGGAGGGTATAAACAGTAAAAGAAAAGCTAGCAACAGAAGGCACCCAGAGAAGCTGGCCCATTTATGAAAGCTTATGCCTTAGTCCCTAATGTGCCACCCATGCCCTGCCTTCTCTCCAAAATTTATAATCATTAAACTCCAGAAGCTACTAAATTAGCACTAATGCAATTTAATTTGAGAAGCAGCTTCATTCTAAATGTGGGAAAATGTAATCCAACACTGAAAACGCCCTCAATATTCTTCTTATATTAAATTAAAAGTATGACTTCTGAAATCCTTGCAAGTATTCTAACCCAGATGTTTGGGATTCTGGCAATATTTAAAGGCTGCTTTCTAAGAGAACCCAATTTCCTTAAAAAGTTTGTTAATACATTCTTATTTTTATCAATTTCATGGAAATAAAGTATTAATATAGGGAGTAAGCTATATTTGCAAAATAAGCCTTGTACTTTGGACAGAAGGCATTTAAATGATTTGCATGTTTAATAACTCTCAGATAAGACTTTTTTCCTAATGCATATGCATGATCCATACAGCTGTATTCACAATGAACTGAATAATAGCATGTGAACTGACAGAAGGATATCACAAAAGCTGGAGAATAAAAGCACAGCACAAATTATTCTTATTGCCCTTCCCCCACCAAACAGTTTATCCTTTGTGCTGCTTTACTACTTACCATGCCCTCAAAGCCAACCCTGTAAAGGTTTTTAGCTCCATTGTCCCAAAGAACATATGCTGCACTGTGGGGGCTTGATGCACTCCAGTCCTGGATTTCAGTTACCTATTTAATTAAAAAAAGAAAATAAAAATACTGCTTCTAGTACAATGATCCAGTAATCTATTTTGAATGTTTAACTTCATCAACCACTTATGGATAAGAAGTAAGATAGTAGTTGTATTTTTTTTTTAAACCAAAACCTCTTTTTCTCCTAACAATGTATCCAGAGGTTAAGGTTTTCTGTGAAGTAAGCATTTCAGATTGCCATTTCAATAAAAAGCCTAAATATCTAGCTGATGTAAAAAGAAAAAAAACACAAAGTTTTCAGGCTTATGGTGATTTGAAAAGTCCAGACCTAAAAAAAAATTCACATAAGACAGCAAACAAAATTATTCTAACGATTTCAACGTTTAAAAAGACAACTGTCTTAAGCTAACTAAACTGGTTCAGCATAGTGGTAGTTTTATATTATGTGAATATATTTATATTATGTAAAATATATTATTTAAGTGTTTGGATAGTCTTTCAGTATTAGGACACAAAAGCTTAAGTAGAGAGGATCTTTTTCCCCTTTTCTGAGAAAGCAAATATAGCAAATGCAATCCTCAAAACTCCATTAAGCAATCAAGCAACTTCTTGAACTTGTTACCGAGTAATAACATTCTAACTCTACATCTATCCAAAAGCCTTGTGTTTTTCAGTATTTTCAGTCTCTTTTTTTTTTAATTTATTTCTCTTATCCTGAAAAGACCATGATGGAAGAATTTCCACAATAGCAGGGGATGACAGCACACAAATGTGCAACAGCTGAAAACTTCCTCTAATTATTTTTCATTTTTTTATTTTGATTTTAAATGTGTGATCTTTGTTAACAGTTAACTCACTTAATCATGGACTTAACTATTAAGCAAAAGCTAATTCCAGATCAGTGCTGAGGCACCTCTACTTTGAATGCAGCAACATATAAATTCATCAAAATATACATAACAAAATAAACCTGATAAAAAAAGCATCAAAGCATCAGTTCACTAATAGGTAAGACGATGAAAAATCAAACTCAAACAGGAAAATCCTCCAGAATTACTGGACTGAAGTATGCAAGATTTAATTTAAAAACAAAACAAAAACAAACACACACTTGTAAAAAAAATAGCACTGCACAAATTCAGAGGTATCCCCACAAGCAGTTATACTGCAGCATCCTTTATTTGGAAAACTGATGGACAGCGCTCTAATTCCTGATGGTCATAAGGCTCATCTGTAATCTAAACTGTTTAGAGGTGCACCAGTATATTGGTCCGTATCGTATCGGCACCAGTAAAAGGAAAATTGACATGATCGGCAATCAGCTTTTTTGACCGATGAGGCCGATGTCACTGATAAATGCCGCATACATGTGCACAGCTGCAGCATGCATGTAGCCGGGAATGCAGCCCAGCAGCTTGGAGAGAACCATCTGACTGGTGAGTCTGTGGGGGAAGGGGGTGGGGTGGGGCATGGGACAGAGCCATGGGCAGCTCAGCCAGAGCTCCGGCTGCTGCATGCACTGCAGGAAAGGCATGGGGGACATCTGCCAGCAGATTTTTGCATGGGATGAGGGCAGGCAGCCCACTGCAGGCTGGGGCCAGAAGCCGTGCTGGCTTCTTCCCAGGATGGGGACGCTACAGTGAATGTTGGGGCAGTTGCAGCACCACCCCATAACCTTCCCACCCAGCTTGCCCTGGCCAGCTCCACCCCCCTGCCCCCCGCCAAGAATACGCTGGTGCAGTCCCCAGCTCCAGCCTGCAGCTGGCTGCCCGCCCTTGCCCTGCGCACAAATCCAGGGGGGCACACGCCCACCATGCATCCCTTGGGGGTGCATGCAGCAGTGGGAGCTGCTTCCCTTTGCCCCCCAGACAAGCCACCTGCAGCTCTGTCCCACATACCCCCTCCCCCTGGCTGGGCAGCGCCTGCCCCAGCCCCACTCCCTCCCTCACCATGGGGGCCTCAGTCTGCCTATGCCATACCCCTTTCCTCACTACAGCCCAATGCTTCCCCACCAGCCCAATGCTGCTCTCCAAGCTGCCGGGCTGCATATTGGCAGTTGGATCAGTACTGGACAATATGGCTGATTAATAATCAGCAGGACAGGTAGTTTTAAGACTAAATTTTTTATGGCCAAAGATTTAAACTCATATCTATATTTGATAACTTATAATTGTATATGAGCTAGCTATCTGGGGAATGACAGAGAGTCTGAAAAGTATGTAGCTAATTAAAATGTTATCCAAGTCATCTAGAAAGCTCTTGGACATTACCATGCATTATGCGCACAGAGGGAAAAGTGTGTGTGTGCATGCGTGTATGAAAGGTCTTACCTTCCCCCTACGTCCATTGCCACCATCTTGATCTTCCCACTGCCAATCAACTCCACGTACAACCCTGGCACCTGCAAAGATTCCTCTTGCTGTGATTTTTTTTGATTTACGACGAGACTCTAATAGTACCCTGAAGTGGAGGGGGAAGAGGGGAGGGAAAAACCCATTAAATTACAAGTTAATAAAAGCTACACGTGAGTAGTCATGAAACAGGACATTTAGCCAGAATTTAAAATAGATCATTGCAACTATAACACTGTAAAACATCAGGAACTAAGTATTTCTGTGTTTATATTCACTTTTTAATGCAAAAGCTCAGAACAACATTACATTGAAATCTTAGCATCTGAAAAGTCACAAGATTAAAAGATCTTTCTGCATTTGAATTATATGTTTTTGCAATTAATACTTTAAATTTCATGTAATTATTTCCCCTAAGCCTCCTGTTAACAACCATACTGAAACAATTAAAACCTGAGTATGTGTGTCTGTAACTCAGTGTCAGAGCTATATATATTTTAGCATGAACAGGATTCTGCACTGTTCCTTACCTGTGTTCTATTTTTATTCATTTTATTTTAAAATTAAGCTATTTAAAAACAAAACTGTCTTCCTCAATGTCATTCCCTGAAAATATTTTTTTCTTTCTTATGGGTGCATTGGCATCCTTCACTCAGCAAATGTTTCCTCATTAATATTTCAGAAAACTCTGAAAAAAATAAATCTCTTACCCTTCCTCTGTCTGCAGCAAAAACTATGCTACATGTACCAAAATCAACCCCTCTGAACAAAGCACTTCTTTATGAGTACCTGAGACAATGGGCTTAATTTCCTTTCAAGGCCACTATCCTCAGCAGTGTCACTCTCCAGTTTCATGGCATGAAATCTGAGAACGTTGCCAGACAAAGGATATTTTTTGGCAGAACCTTAGATTTTTTTTCCTGATTCTCTTTCAGAAAAACTCTACTGCTGAACTTCTCATAGCCAGCAGATGGGGTAATAGAAAAAGTAAGTTGCAAAGTCAATTCTTAGCAATTCCTACTTTTTCCATCCAGCAAAAAATAAGTCTGGAAGCACATGAAAATATGTTTTATTTAAAATAGATATCAGCAATCTGTCTGAAGAATTAAAATGTCTCAGTTTTCTCAGTTATTAATAGGTTTCATATCAACATGCAGTTCCTATGTTATTATGCACTCAAGAATGACAAACTCCCCATTTTGCTTCACCCAAGAATAATTTGATGTAGTTGGATGCTTTTCTTGTGAGCTGTCCCTCAAGCTCCATAACAGGAAATATTAATTTAAGTCTGCTTTTCACAGATATATTGGATCCAGGAACAACAGTTCCTTGGAAGCTGAAATAGTCTCTTTATTTATGAACTACATAAAAGGAGAAGTCAAAGTGGAGCAAAGAAAGAAGCCAAGGGAATTAAACATTGAGATGGCATGAATATTACACTGACTGCTATAATTACCTTTCTGCAAAGCCAGAAGGAAACCAATGACCTGTACAGGAGTACACCAATTAAAAAGAATGTTTCAGAGGTATAAAAACCCTCTTTTAACAGAGATGAAATGTGTAATTACCCAAACAAAATGACTGGAATAATATTCTCTGAGGCAGTGAGAGGTTTAAGCAGAAACAAACTTTAATATGGGGCATTTTTATATCAATCATTTTTTCTTGCTAGTCATTTTATGTTGTACTATAAGTAACTGAAGACCTCTTGCCTGTACTTGGCCCAACTTCTACTTTAAGTTTTGGCCTACAGCAAAATTACCCTAATAACATCAGACTGATGTCATGTGGTGCCTAAATACTTCACTAGTGTGAATATTAGAAATGCAGAGATAGGGGATTTATTAAAGAAACAATTAAGACTGGCATCTGAGTAGTTGCCAATTAGCCGAAATTACAAAGAAACAGGAAAAAATTACTCAAAAGACTCTAGTAATCAGTTACTAAGCATATCCCTTCAAGCACACACCTGTTATACACAAATTTAAGTATGAAATCACAAATATGCATGGGTTTCACCCATGGAAACTGCCTGTTCATTTATCCCCTGCTTCCAAATGACATGCTTTCCATAGGCTTTAATTCTAAGATCTCTCTTTAAAGAGGAACAAAGATCAGTTCTTTTTAGAATAAGGCATAAGCAGGCAGGTATATCCCCCTGTTTTTTATGGGAGTATAGGTAGCGAAGTAGTCTGGGCCATACCATGACACTGGAGAACATTCTAAGGAAGAAGTGAAATACTGAATATGCGATGCCATTATATTTACCGTTTATATAATGCATAAAATGCAAATCTCTTCAGCTATTACCTTACACATACTAAAATTATATAACCAAATCAGAGCTTAGAAAAGATAACAGCAATAAATGTCAAGGGAAACGCATACACTTTTACCTTTCACTTCCTGGTGTGGTTATTCTGTAAAAACGATGTCTCAAATGATGTTTGTCCCCATGATAACAGACTGTGCACAAGTCATAATTTGTACATTCTGCACATTTCCATCGAATCCCAATGATTGGCTGTTGGCGACAAGTATCACACATAGTTCCATCATGCTTGATTCCTATAAAAGACAAGACAGACCCTAGTAATAAAGAGATTTCTTTATTATACCTCCAAAATTAAGATTACAAATTAAAACGTTAATAGGCCAATGGGTTTTAATTGAGACACTATATCAGTTTGGGTAAATCAAAAAATAATTAACTGAAGGGAAAGTTCTGGGTACTTTCCTTACTATTTCTGGTTGCCAGTCTATGATTGAAAACTTTTAGTTCCTTCTCATCTATTAAATTTTGTTGACAGCAAGGTTCATTTTTCCAGTTATTTATTCTGGCCAGACAGACTGGCCTTCCCCCCTTTGGGACAAAGTTCTTCAAGCACAGAACAAATTACCAGGAAGCCATGTTAAAAAATACCAGGAGCTATGAAATTACAGATGTAAGGATTATGGCTATCTACGTGTGATATACAATAATGGACTAAAATGATTAACTATACAGTAACCATGGTTGACAGCGGATGCTTTAGCTTAATTTATATTTATTGTCTATAGAACAATCAAGGGTCTTAAACTCAGTTTCATCTGTATTTTAATGAAAGTTCAAAGAAATCGAGTGTTTGATTGTAGCAAGAAGGAAGCTCTCCTCAGCAAGTGTCGTTAACTTCAGTAGAATCTATACTTTGATTTAAAAACTTTCTAGCCTTTATGGTATGAAAGATAACGCATCACAGATGAAACAAGTTCAAACTATTAGAGCAGCAGTCTGCAACCTTTCTAGGCTGTCAGCCAGAGTGACCCAGTTCAGATCCCACTTGTCCCTACAGCAGCACAGGGAGAAGGACTGCAGCTGACACTTAACCCTAACAGTGACATGGGAAAGCAACTGCTGCCAAAGGTCTCCACTGCCAAGTGCCATCAAAGTCCCTTGTCTGAGATCCAGATTAAATGGGCTTTGTGGGCCGTAGGTCACTGATCTATGTACTAGAATATTTTCTTCCTAATACTGACAAAACAGAGCTCAGGTCTCTCTACATATGCTCATAGTTTTACCGAGCTGCAGCAGAGTGAAACTGAC